TCATCCTCATCCACATCCTCATCATCATCATCATCATCATCATCATCATCATCATCATCATCATCATCATCATCATCATCATCAGCGTCATCATCATCATCATCATCATCATCATCATCATCATCATCATCATCACCGTCGTCGTCGTCATCATCATCATCATCATCATCATCATCATCATCATCATCATCATCATCATCATCATCATCATCCTCATTGCCTGGGCCGCGACCCCGCGGATACGGTGTATTGTTTCGCGGACGCCCCACGCGGAACGTATCTGGTGCGACCGCGTATCCGCGGTATCGCGCCCCGGGACACAGGCCCCGCAACTCCAGTAGAAGATCGACAACAAAACTGATGCACCCCAAAATTGGAAATGTTCTCAAACATATACGGACACTGAGATTTTTTGTCGATTCGACGAACACCGACTAATTAATCTGGTGCAAATCAATGCTGTAGTCGATCTCCTTCCTACGCGAGCAAGGGCGCGCATACGGACATGTTCGCCGCTCGTGGGCTCCAGGGGCGACACCGGCGCGCCCAGCGCCCGCTCCAGCAGCGCCCGCACCCTGCCGTCGCAGCAGGCGGGGCCCACCTCGGGGGCGGCCTGCTCGTGCTGCCTGGGCGGCGCCCGCGGCGGCGAGGCTGCCGAGACCTCTGGCAGGTCCACGCAGTCGACGCCGTGGTCCGTGCCCCTGGGGCCCCAGGGCGCGCCCTGCGGGGGCGACGGCGGCGCGGAGAGCCCCGACGTCAAGGCGTCCAGGACCGCCTCGGGCACCTGTGCCGACAGGGCGGCGGTGGCGACCCCGGCGGTCGCGCGCGCAGCGCGCTCGGACATTTCGCTGCTGAGGCGCATGATGTCCTCGTCGGGGGCGTGCCCGCAGTAGATGCTCACCTCGAACACGGCGCAGTGGCCGCGGCCCCGGGCGTAGTTCTGCGTGTTGATGCCGAAGTTCCCGTGCCTCTGCACCGAGCAGCAGCCCTCGTGCGCCGCGCCCTCCACCCGCACCCCGTCCACAAAGGCCACGGCGCCGCCGGCCTGGTTGCGGAGCGCCACGACGTGGAGGCCGCCTCTTGCCTGACGCTCGGACCAAGCCCGCCACACTCCGCCCCACTTCGCGGTGCCCAGCGTACTCCCCATCCAGCCGCCCACGAAGCCGTCGTCTGCGGCGAGCACGCGCTCCTGGCCGGTGCGCTCCTGCAGCAGGAGCTCCGAGCCCGCCTGCACAGCTTCTGCCGCCAAGCCCCATGCCGACTGCCCGTTGATCTCCACGAGGCGCCAGGTGCGAGCCGACCACGAGCCCCCGAGGAGCCCGACGCGCTCGCCGCCGCCGTGACGGAGGACCTCGGGGAAGCACCCCTCGGTGGCGCCCTGCAGCCCGAAGCGCACCCTCCGCGGGCCGCCCGCGACGAGCGCGAAGCCCTCGACGCAGCCTGCACTGGCGCCGCTCACGGTCACCTTCAGCGCGGGTGAGCAGAGGCGTGCTGCAGCGAGAAGGGTGAAAGCCTCCGGCAGGGGCTCCCGCGAGATCAGCAGGGTGTCGCTGGGCCGGAAGGCCACGGACTTTGTGAGGTCCAGCCGCGGCGCGCCGTAGGTCACCGTGGCGTGCCTGCCGTGGCCACTGGAGTCAAACCACGTGCACCCATTGAAGGTCTGCGCGGCCCGATGGAACCTCGCCCACGGTGCGGCCCCGGCCGCGGCCGTGGTGGGCCAGGCGCCCAGGCGGCGGGCCGCGGCGCGCGGCAGGCCTGCGGCCCGCAGCTGGGCCCACATGCACGCCCGCGAGAGAGCAGCGGCCGTCCCAGCGATGGCCCCTGCGCCGGAGGCGGAGCGGCGAGGCGCCGCCGCTGCTGCGGCTGCGGCGTCGGCGCAGGCGCAGGCCAGGCGGTTCGACCTCACCAGCCAGAAGACCACGGCCCACGGCCCGACCCTCCCAGAGCGGAGGGCCCAGGCGAGGCCCGGCGCAACCATGAAGGCCCACAGCCTCTGGGGCGCCGCCAGGGCCAGCAAGCAGTGCGTCGTGGGGTACCTCTGCACTGCCCACAGCCGACGCATCCGGGGCCACGTCGCCACGGGCTGCCACCAGCCCGCCCAGCTATTCAGCAGCAGCGCGGAGACCCAGACGTACGGCAGGCTCGCGATGCGGAGTAGAAGCCTTGGCCATAAGCACCCGACGGCCACCCCAGCCAGGGCGGTCGCCGCGAACTGCCGCGCTCTGGCAGCCGCCACGCCGGCGGCGAGCATCTCCGTGGCCTCGCACCCGGACAGGGCACACAGCTCCGCCAGGCCGCGTGCGTCCACCTTGTGCGTCGCCAAGTTCCGCGGCAGCCCGCCCGCGCTCGCGGGGACCAGGTGCAGACTCACCGAGGCGCCGGCAAGGGCAGAGCGTACGGCACGCGCTGTCACCCCTGCGGCAGCCAGCGGGCTGCCGTCGGCAGACTCTGACATCCCTGGCGCGGCCACATGGCTGTCTGTGGCAGGAGGTGGCGACGAGCAGCTGGCCAGCAGGAGGAACGCCTGCGGCCTGGATGCGGCCTCCGAGTCCACAACGACAGCCGCCTCGGCCACGCCAGGAGCCGCACTGAGGGACTGCTCCAAGTGCAGAAGGTCAAGCCACTTGCCAGCGCTCTTCGTCATCATGTCGCGCCTCCCGAGAAACTCCACGCCGTCGCGAGCCCGCCGGACGAGGTCACCAGTCCGCAGGTAACGCACCCCCTCGTGCTCCACGCAGGGGAAGGTGGAGCAAGCCTTACCGTGGTATCCTGGCGAGACCATCGGGCCAGCTAGCCACAGCTCGCCCACCTGCCCCTCCGCCGCCTCGGCCTCGCCATCGAGGGCGATGCGCCACTGCACGTCCTGAACCTTGTGGTACAGAGGGTGGCCATGGGCACCAGGGCCCCGGGCAGAGAGCGCCAGCCAGTACTCGGAGGCGATCAGGAGCTCTACCACCTCCACGCCGGCCGCGCGCCAGCGCTGCGCCAGCGCGGCGGGGCACCCGTCGGCCCAGCTGAGCACCACGCGCAGTGCCGTGCTCCTGCGGGCCTCCTCCGCGGGCAGGTGCGCCAGGAGGGCGGGGACGATGCCGAGCACAGAGACGCTGTGCTGCTGCACCGCAGCCCAGATCTCCTCGGGCGTCCCGGCGCCCGTGAACACCACAGTGCCCCCGCAGCCGAGGGCCACGTCCACCTCCCCGAGCAGCGCGGCGCCCCAGTAGGCGGACGAGAGCTGCAACACCCGCTCCCCCGCGTCTCGCAGCGGCACGGCCTCCCGGTAGCGCCGCAGCTCGTGCAGGGCCATGCCGTGCGCCACCCTCACGCACCTCGCCTTGCGCGTCGTGCCGCCGGTGAAGACCAGCGCCAACAGCGAGGCCGGCCCTGGCGTGGGCCATCCCGGGGCGCCCGGGCTGTCGGCGGCATGGGCGCCGGCCAGGTCGTCCAGCGTCTCGGCGGGCGGCTTCGGCGAGGGCATCTCGGACCACCGCTGCAGGCCCGGGGTGTCCACCATGACGAGCACGGGCCGCGAGACCTCGAGGGCGTCCTGCCAACGCCTGTCCTCCTCCCCGCGGCTGCGGTGGTCGAGGCTGAGGGGCACCAGTGGCGCGCCGCAGCGTGCCGCCGCCACGTAGGCCGCTAGGAGCGCGGGGCTGCGGCGCATCAGGGAGGCCACGGACTGCAGCTTCCCATCCTTGCAGGCCCAGGCATCCGGCGTCTCGAAAAAATCGGGACGACGTCTTTTCACAGTCTTCGGCCTCTCGGGGCCCTTCCGGGGACTCGGGGCCGTCAACAAACGACTCGGGATGAGAAACCCGTGCCAGGGAAGTGGTCGAGAGGTCGGGGGCCCGTGTCTCGAAAAAGTCGAGACGCAGGATGTCTGGGGGAAGACAGCGGGTGATCACCACCACCAGGCCTCTCCTCACGCCAACCAAAGCCGTGGCGGGCATCGGCTCCAGAAGCCAGGCCCGGATGCCGTGTCCGCCAAAACCTTCTAGGACTCAAGAGGAAGGGCTTGGGAGGGGTGTATTGCAGCCCTGTTGATGCATCCTGAGCTTCCTCCTTCAGCTCCTCCTCCTCCTCCTCCTTCTCCCCCTCCTCCTCCTCCTCCTCCTCATCTTTCTCCTCCTCCTCCTCCTCCTCCACCTCCTCCTTCCTCCTTCTCCTCATCCTCCTTCATCCTCCTCCTCCGCCCTCCTCCGCCATCCTCCTCCTCCTCGTCCTCCTCCTCCTCCTCCTCCTCCTCCTCTTTCCCCTTCCCCTCTCCCCCTCCCACCTACTCGCCGCGACACCAAGCGCACGATCCTGAGCACAAGACTACCCCTGGGACCGACCCCGCATATTTCCTCCCCCGCCCTCCTCCGCTGTAGGTGCAAGTGATTGTGTGCGGAGTCTTCTTTAGTGCTGGCATTCCCACCCAACTTACCATCGTGTCCGCTGTTTGGCAAATTTAGGAGGCACCCCTCCACGAGTTTGACACAGCGGGGTTTCAAGAAGGCGACCTTCGAGCACACCGATCACCCGTACGTTTACACATTGACATGACCTGATCACATGGCGAGCACCGAGCCCTTCCTCCGACAGGTGCTCCCCCAACCGTTTTCAACAGCTGTCGACAAAAAACATAGTCCAACAGCTCGGCCAGGCTTTTGCGCAGCGACTGGCCACATGGCACTCCAACAGGGCGAAGGGAGGGGGGGCGGCGACTCGCGGGAGACGTCTTCGATCACGCTCGTCTGCGAGTCTGCGGACCGACACTAATTAGACGGTCCTTGGAGGTTCGAGAATATGTGGGGGAACGCCCTCTGCTCAGGGAAAGCCCGAAACTGCGGCGTGCACATGGGGGATGTTAGCGAGAACAGGCCCTGCTGTCTGTCCCAAACTCAGGAGTGGCGTCCCAGAGTGGACCACAGCCCCTCCAGGGGGGTGAGGCGAAGTGGGGGGGGGGTCCTCAGCGACACAACCTGGGGCTATCCCGAGGTGTGCCTGAAGGGTGAGTGGTG